TAGTTTATATAAACTATGACATTTATAAATGTATGAATCATATGGTGAAAAACTGAAAAATAAATTTGTTCATTTTTTCTAAATAAATAAAAGAAATATTGGTGGTAATTTTTGACTGCGTAACTTTACAAACGGCACCCCACATTGATGCGTAGTTTTCTTTTCTAACGTTGTTTTTCTCTCCAAACGGCCGCATCTGCCTTTCTGTCCTTGACAAACATGTGCAGTAGTGGGAATTAGGGCTGCCACAAACGATTATTTTTATAGTCGACTAATCGGTGATTGGTCGACTATAAAAAAATAAAAACAAGTTTAAAAAATGACGCATAGACAATTAAATTAGTCGTTGATGGTTTTAAGAGTTGACATAATCGCGACTGGTCGACTAATGGTGGCAGCCCTGAAACAGAGGAGCATCCAGGAGAACGAACACAGCGAAGGGGAGCTGGGATGGAGAGATGTGAGGTAGAGACGCTCGTCCGGTTTCAGACGAGGAGTCGGATTCTCAGCCGACCGCTCTGTTKTCTAATCAGCCGACCCCACGCTCGCGCCCTGGCTGTGGCTTGGCAGGCTCTCTCCCCTTGTCGAGGGACGCTGCTACTGGCTGCAGCAGGAATGTAGATTAGGCGCTAACCCAGGTCGCGATTTGAGCTAGAACCAGCACCCGACCACTCATCGAGTTCACCTTTTCTTTTCTAAAGCACCAAGAAAGCTGCACGAACCGAAGCGTCACCGCCACACTGCCGTCATTACATTCAAATAGGTAAATACATTCCATTTAAACCAACACAACCTCCAAGCTTCAACCAAAGCTTACGAAACAATTATTTTTGTGCTTTTAAAACCAAACACTTCTCCGAACAGATGGGTTTAAATACAAATCTTTTGTTGGTAAATTGATTGCACAGGAGCAAAGTGCTGAAGTCACGTGTTTAATATTGTTTTATGTCACTGCTTTTAGTTTTTACTCATCCGAATGCAACAATAAGTGATGCGTTCACTGCCTTAAAGGAGAGCTGGTTTAAGCCTCTTCATGCAGGCAGGAGACTGTATCTAAAGCTAGAAAATTGATATTTTGTCCRAATTTTAAGCAACTTTTAAAGCAAACTTCTGAAAATCATAAAATATATTTGGAGCAAACAAACCAGGCTGCAGGACGTTATCAGACAGGTGGCACAGATCCACCTCTGCATGGCTGTMATTAGCGTGGTGCTCATTTTATTCCTTATAAATAAACTAATCTCGTAAAAACAGCTAAAATAAAAGGTCATTTTTAATTTTTACTTCCAGTTAAGGATGACATCGTTATTGCAATAATAAATGATAGCATCAGACTCGTGCACCGTTCTCTCTAATATGTGAGCCATTACATTGAAACGAGGATTAATTCAAAGTTGTTAAAAATGATTTCATCACATTTTAGATTCCTGCTTTAAAAGCTACATTTTGATACCTGGATCATCCTGATACAAGTGTATCCAGAGATGTGACTTCATTGGTCTTGTTGGTTACGATAATACTTAAATATTTGGTCTAAATCCTAATTTATGTAATTTTAATGAGGATTTTTTCTTTCATTTTAAAGAAGAAACCTCAAATAGTAATTGAATATTGACATTTACCAGCTGGAAAGAAACCAAAACTTTGCTAGCTCACAGGGAAAATCTAAAAATTTTAAGGTGTTTTTCCTCAAAATCAGGTTTTTTTGTTGCTACGGCTCAAAAAATGCTTCAAAATAATTTTTAGGGTTATATTTCAGACAGTTCATTCAAACGATACACTGATAACATATTTTAATTGTTATATTTTGACAAAATGCTACTTTTGTCAGAACACTATATCTGCCTTTTTCTCCACTTTTACACTTAATCCTTGTTCCGATGCGACGGTTCACACACGTGGTGATGAGAAGTTTTAGCTGTTTCCTAAAAAAATGTAAGTTTCCAGTTTGCGCCCAYCGATGACCTCACACAGTCCGATTTATCCGCTACAAACATCAAATGAAACATGTAAACTTTTATTTTCCACGTTAGAAACTCCCTTAAAAATGATAACTATTTAAATTTTTGAGTTCAGTTTTGCACGTTTTTATTGGGAGTTTTTCCTTCATTTTTCAGCCCAACAGAAACGCATCTTTATTTCATTTATTTTGTCCTAATAGGGTAACGGAGATCTTCTGCTCTCTCATTTGTAGAAAGTAAATTTTGGAAATAGAGATGGGGTCTCGGTGTAAAAAAGCATCTGTTCAACGGAGCCCACTGCAGCCAGTAGCAGAGGCTAATAGTTAGCATGGCAGGATCAGAGAAGAGCTAAAAGTGGGGAAAGCGGAGGACAAAAGAGACAATTTCCTCCTTACAGTGCATAGATCAAATCAAGGAAGCACTACAATTACAAAAAGAAAACGTGATTTTTTTTATCTTCATTTTACAYTTGTAAACATTTAGCAGTCATCCATTGATTACATTAATGCTTTTTTTCTTATATTCTTTGTCCATAACACACACACAGTAGGCTTTGAAATCGATAACATCCACAAGTTTTGCTAAAACAAAGCAGATTTTTTTWAAGTCCTGTTTACACGACCGGACAAGCAGACACGGCTCGCAGGTTCACCACTTGAGATCGAATAGAGGAAGGGGGCGTCGTCTTCTKTTTTTTTAAATTGTGTGTACAAAACAAACAGAACGGGGAGTACGCACACGCAAGAGCACACACCACAACGACCAACGCAACGCAGGGATAGCAAGGATTTGCTACAGGTCTCATCGCCCACTCTTCAAAGGCAGGGCGATGATGTCACCGTTACAGACAGGAAGCAGCTTTGTTCTGTTGCTCAGAGGACTGGATCGTTGTTTGTTCAAAGTTTTTTTATTTTTTTCCCCACTCTTGACTTTAAATCTTTCCAGACTTTGCAGTGACTTCCTTGTTTTAAGCAGTATCCTCCGGTGAAATTAACATAAAAAAACAACAACACGGTCCTTGTTACTTTACTCCAATAGTAAAAATGTAAACATTTTGTGAGGTTGCCTTGCATGGAGATATTGAGCGCAGAGCCGCGTTGTTGGAAGGGCTCTGCTGCAGTTTTTTTTCTAAGGCTGGCCGGACAGCAGGGCCGTCCTGTTAACGGTGCAGGGAATTCTGCGCCTCCTTCAGCAGAGTGTCAAAGTCCAGCGCATCGTACTTACTCTTGACAGGGCCGGGGCCCGCCTCATCTGAAACACACAAGCACGGCTGGGTTAGAAAGGTCCTGGTAGTGGAGTCAGAGGCTCGTCCTAAAATACACGAGGACAGGAGGACATGGAGGGACGGGGGGCCGAGTCAGGTGGGACTTGCGATCTCATTCAGAATAAAAAAAAAAAAACAGAGCGTGCATTATTAGGGAAATCTTATGATTTCTGCTTTTCTAATATTTCTAATAATTCTGTATTTGTATCTACATGATTTATAGTTCAAGAAGGAGTTGATGTTTTTATTTGTAGATTATTATTGTTTGAATTTAGTTTTTTGGAAAAAAAGGGCAGATAAGATTTTTTCTTCTTCCTGCTGCCTTTCATTTTCTATGTGATTTGTATTTTTCTTATTGTATATAGAATTTATTTTGTTTTTTAAAATGAACAAAACTTTTAAAAAAATTTGTTTCATTTTATATTTGTAATGGGAAAATGTTGAACACAAACCGAAACCATAGGGTTGCAACGGTGCAGGAAATTCATGATTCGGTTAAATATTTTAGTCTTGAAGTTTGATAATTTTTCGATACAAAAAAACCCAGAAATGCCCATGAAACTGCAATTTATGGAAATTAATTCTGAACATTTATTTAAACTCAAAAGTCCAGTTTTTAAATTAAATGTTGCTGAAACAGCAAGTTTCTCAGTGGATCTGTGCTCAA